CAGGGTTGAAAACACCATGTAAAGAGGAATCTACAGCCAAGCATCTCCAAGAGATGTATGGGCTACAAGCAGCTGGAAGATTGGGAGGCTCTTCCCCTAGAGCAGGCAGAAAAGACAGACCAGCTGACATGCTGAATTAGATCATGTAGCTTCCAAAACTGTTAGAAAGTACGTTTTTGTTCTTTAAAACCACTCACTTTGTGGTACTTTGTTACAGCACTAGGAAACGAACATATAGCCACTGTACACACAAGGACTTATACAAAGTATTAGAATTAATCAGTAAAGCTAGCCTGGTACGATGCAATATCCAAAAATCAGTTCTATATCTAAATGCAGTAACAAACAATTGGAAAACTGTAAAACCATTTATAATAGCACTAAATAATAGAAACAGCTGTATATCTAATGAAAGCTATGAAGGAATGTCTACACTTGGCACATAAAACCATGCTGAAAGAAACTGAGGAAGATCTCGATTAAATAAAGCTATGCTATGTTCATGGAACGGAAGATTCACTATCGTTCAATTATCTCTTGTTCCTAAGTTGATACTCAAATTCAAGAAATAACACCCAAAACATGCTAAGTTGTAGAAAAAAATACCAAACATTATTATGACTTTAGGGTAGATAAAGACTTCGTAGACAGGACCAAAAAGCACAAGCCATAAAGAAAAAAAATCGATAAACTGAACTTCATTAAAGTTAAAATCTCTATTCTTTAAAATGCAACATTAAAAAAATGGTAAAAATGGCAGACTGTGGGGAATATTCATGCTAATTGTATAGTAGGAAGGATTTATGTCCAGAATATATAAGTAATTAGTATGAGTCAACAATAAAAGGACAAATCCAATTTTTCTTAAATATGAAAAGATTTTAAATAGGTATGTACTAAAGGAAGATACACTAATGACTAATAAACATAAATGAAAAGGTGATCAAATAATTAGTCAATAAGGAAATACAAATAAGAATCACAACAAAATATTATTTCACATATACAGTAGAATGACTATAATTAAAAAAAAGAGAATCAAAATATCGAATATTGGCAAGGGCTTGGAGCAAATCTCTACTTTGCTGGTGAAAGAATAAGACAATACAATCACTTCAGAGAAGTATGTGGCAGTTCCTTAAAAGTTAAGCATACATCTACTCTTGAAAAATCAATCTAAAACCCATTGGCATTAGGTTTGATTCTCACTCATTGAAACACACCAGAAGTTATATAGACGAACTGAGTTCCATTGAATTTCCTTGGCTGTGACCTTTCTTATTGCTGGGTTTTCTTCCATAGTTAGAACCACCAAATTTCTGGTTAGTAGAAAACCCCAAACCATTTGCATTACCCACAAACTCTATGGCCAAGTAATTACTCTCTGTGTGTGTATAAACATATCCACACAAAAAAAACCCTCAAAATGCCCAAAATATTCATCAAGATTATTCATGATAGTCTTATTCCTAGTGCCCTGACCTGGAAATAACCAAATGTCCACTAACAGTAAATTACATAAACCATGGCACACCATTACAATGAAACAGTCCTCCTCAATAAAATGGAACAAACTACTCACATGTAACAAAATAAATATCTTTCAAACATTATTTAAGCAAGAGAATATAGTAAAGAGTGCAGAGGGCGTGGTTTTACTTAGATGAAATACAAATACAGGCAACAGTCATCTTTGGTGACGGCTCTATGGGATGATGTTTCAAGGGAGTAGGAAGGCAGCCTCATGGTACCAGAGGTTAAAGCTTGGCTGCTGCCTGTAAAGTGGGGCGCTTCAAACTCACCAGCCACTCCACAGAAGAAAGCCTTAACAACACGTTTCTAAAAAGATTACCGCCTTGGAAAGCCCATGTGTAAGAGAGTCTATACGGAGAAGTGAAATTACTTCCCATGGCTCTTCTATCCACAGTCTTTCTATCTCTAGCAAAAATGAATGTGTGAGGGCATGCAAATAAGTTACAGAGGACTCTAATGATGGATTTGGCTATTTTTATGGTTCCACTGTGTATGAAATGAGACAGTTCAGAAGTGGGAACTAAGAATTCCACCATGACCAAGAAAGAGGAGCAAGAGAAAAACTGCACCAAGTCGCGGGGAGAGAGGGCAAAAGAGCAGTGGTGAGACTGAGGGAGAGGCTTTCGGGCGCCCAAGAAGAAAAAAGCCGAGTGCCTTGGGACAGGAGGCTGGCTAGCAAGGGGAAGTGCCCTTTGGGCATTTATCAGGGCTAAAGGAGCTTGGTAACACCTGTGCAAGGCAGAAGTCAAGAGGTCATGTGGCTGTGAGGCCAAGGAACAGAGAGAGGTGCCTGCTGGCGCGGTTGAGAAGAGGTGCTGCAGCTAAAGGTGTTAATTTTTTTTTCTTTTTTATTAAATACTTTTATTGAGGGCTCCTATATCTCTTATCACAATCCATACATTCATCCATTGTGTCGAGCACCTTTGTACATATGTTGCCGTCATCATTTTCAAAGATTTTCTTTCTACTTGAGCCCTGAGATCAGCTCATTTTACCCCCTCCCCTGCCCTCCATCCCTCCTGAACCCTTGATAAGTTGTAGATTATTATTTTGATGTCTTATATTGTCCTCTGCCCCCCCCCCCACCGCCTTTTCTGTTGTTCGGCACTCTAGGAGGGGGTTATATTTTGATCCTTGTGATCGATACTCCCTTTCTCCCCCCACCTTCCCTTTATCCTCCTGGTATCTCTACTCTCACTATTGGTCCTGAGGGGTTTCATCTATCCTGGATTCCCTGTGTTGCAGCTCTTATCTGTAGCAGTGTATATGAGGAACTGTATTCTTAATTTTTCTGATCCTGACTTGTAATCTGTTAGCTTCCCTGACAAACCCCTATAATCATAAGCATTCTCTGTGAGGTTGTGTGGCTATTGAACTGAGAAGTACTGTGCCATGGAAGGGAGAGTTAGTGTCAACACACAGTCAGTGGAGTCGGAGGGTGGACTGCTGCCTTGTGGGAATCAGCCTCTGGCTGCTGTGAAGTTGGATTCTCCTTGCCCTTTGTGTAGCTGGAAGAGACCAGACATGGCCCTAGTACCCTTTCCTCAGACTTTATGTATCATGTAAAAGGGCCAGTGCATTATTTATCTTCTAAGAGAAAACTCTATTTGATAGCTTTACTACCCTAAAATGTGTACATGTTCCTTGAGACTTAGAAATGACACAACTATGCAGAAAGCTTAACATGCCGTCCCTTAGCGCATCCTCCTCGCACTAAATACATCACTGTACAATAACTGCTATTAAAACTTTTTTAAGTCAGAAGAGGGAAGTAAATGGAAATAGACTCTAATTTTCTTTAAAAAGAAGCTATTTTATCAATAAGATCTAGAAAGAAAAGCAGGAAATCTAAAGGATTATGGCACTCCAACAGGAAACCCCCTCTTTCCACTGCCTGCCGCCTTACACTTTCTTACACTCATGGACTAATATATAAATTTCTAATAGGCAAAGCAGGTAAAATCTGTAAAAAGTAAAACTTCATTTAACATCAGTTATTGATCTTTATAGTCTTAATTTAAGCAATCCTAATTATTGCCCCATTTTGTGCTGGAATCTGTATCAGAAACGAGACAGCTAAGATTGAAGTGCATTTGCACAAGGCGGCCTGAGGTGGGAGGCTACATTGGGAGCCAAAAGCTTCTTGGAAACATAAGGGCATACGAGACATACAGAATAGGAGCGTGGATACCAGTGGCTTGTCCCACATGTCAGTGTAGCCCTGTACGTAGCAGAGGCAAAGGAAACACTTTGCTCACATGCGATATTGCTACTGTTGTCAGAAACCAGAACTGTGCCCATCAGCAAGCAACTGTATTGTAGCTTCAATAGGTTTTTGTGGGCTTGCCTGGAAATTCAATCACCATGCATAAAATTATTTCTGTGGTAAAACATGTTTCACAGAAATGGAAACCTGACCTATGAAGCAAGAAACAGGTTTTTGGGACAACTAGGCCTCCTTGCCGAAACCCAATCAAGTCAGTGTTCTGAGACACGTGAGTAAATGGGGAATGAAATTGTCTCCCTAACAAGGTTATTCAGCTGGACCAGCAGGAGAAAGAACCACTCTTTCAGAAACGGAACGGCATCGAGGGCACATGGACAGAGACTTACTTTCCTATTTGGATGCTGACGGGCCCCACCCACTTATGTCTATGTCTCACCACTTGTTAATATGGCTGCGCTGCTAGATAGCGAGGCCGCATGAAGCTTTCCCTCTAGGTAATTAAGCTGGTCAAGTGATCTTGACGAAGGTTGTCACTGGCATGGGGACATCAGGGGATTGTCCCTTCATGGGCATAGCTCACGGAAGGGCCCAGGAGGTCATCGGAGTATCAGTACAGAGGAGTGGGGCAGAAGGAGAGCTTATGTTCTCATCAGAGGAACACCGACACCGGCTGAGCCCACCCCCCCTTAACAACCCAAATCCAAAAAATAAAAATTAAGTAAAACAATAACTTAATAAGGTGACCAGATTTTAACATTGGTAAAGCGGGGACAAAAGCGGGACACCATTGATAAAACTCATATCCTGGCGAAATAGCCACATGGCAGCCGAAAGCCGTATACCCTAGCTTGTCGTGCATTCTTTCCAAAAATCGGAACTTTTTTAAAACGCCGCGGGACACAGGAAAAATTGTTAAAAAAATCAGGACTGTCCCGCCAAAAGCGGACGTCTGGTCACCTTATTAAGAATGTACTTAAAACAGAAAGTAATATTCTCATCGACTCTTTGGTTGGGAAATATATACACTGCACTGGTTTCCTCCTGCCCCAAGTTAAAGTTTTCATTCGCCAGTCTGCCACTGCCTTCCTGCCAAGCAGCGATTCTGCTGTCGAGAACTTTTCAAAATGGAATCACCAAGTAGGAGTCTGAGACTCAAAGCACATATTCTCCTCGGTAAATAGAGATTCGTACAGTAAAAACCATTATCTTCAATCCAAGGTTCCCACACAAGCGACATTACCTGCCAGTGGTGGACCCCGCTTGCATTTCACTTCGTCTGGTGCCGCTGTTCCTGGTGGGTTCTCTGAGGCCAGTGTCACGGGTGGAATCTTTCCTTGGTCACTTGCAACATTAGGGAAAAGTTTCTTCAGCACTTTTCCAACAAACACTACAAAGGCAACCAATCAGCAAAAGAAAAGAGTGAGTTGTAGCAGTTTTGTACAAAGAACACATGGCTTTAAAAAAAAATAAAAGCACAAACATATCCTAATATTACCACCCTTTGACCATGGAGCTGGGGCCCTGCCAAGTACTGCATCTCAGAGGGCCCTACATGGACCCACTTCCAACTGGAACTCTTTCCAAGGAACAAGCAATCCAGGACTTCCGTGTGTGTGCACACAAGAAACATGGAGACCAAGGTGGGACAGGGGAGAGCACATCTGTTTCATGGTAAAGACATTTTCCTTCCAAATGTTCTAATCCCCCCATTGAATTGCTATGTCAAATAAAGACTTTGAACTATCTCAGAATTTGCTGGTTTGAAATTTCTGCTACCAAGTATGCCCCTAGGAAAGATAGGTCCAAGCTGTAGTCGACAGCGAGTATCCCAACTGCTGGTCCAGGAAGCAGCTGTCATGAGAAAGACAGGCTCGTGAGAAGACCAGCAAGGCAAGTACAATGCGCCCTGTTTCCAACAACTCACGGGAAGAATCCCAGTCCTGTCTCTTTCCAGTATAAGCTGAGCATGCTAACAACGCTAATTAAGGAAACAATTCCGGTATAACTAAGATGGTTTTAACAAGAATGTGGAAGATTTTTCACCCTACTTATTTTAGTTTCCATTCTGCTTAAAAATAGGGGAAGGGGGGGAAAAAACAGTTGCCATAATGAATAAATATTTCCATCCTGATTTAAGTATAGTTAATGAGCAGGCACTAATCTCAAAATAGCATATGAGAAAAGGTGAGGATAAAAGGTTAACAAAATTAATTTGTTTAACCTTATTATACATAGAAAGGTAGAAATAGGGCGTGGTTTGGGAGTAATGGAAAATTCTGAGTTAGTAATAAAAATGCCTACAGAAGCAGAGACAAGAACTGATGCATTTGAATTTCAGTATTGGCGAAGAATGCTGACATTACCATGGACTGCTAGAAGAACAAACAAATTTGCCCTCCAGGAAGGACAGCCAGAATGCTCCTTAAAAGTGAGGATGGCAAGACTTCATCTCCCCTACTTTGAACATGTTATTAGAGGAGACCAGTCCCTGGAGAAGGACATCATGCTTGGTAAAGGAGACAGGCAGCTTAGTCAAGAGGAAGGCCCTCAGTGAGATGGCTTCAAACAGCAGCTGCAACAGGAGCTCAAATATAACAATAGCCGAGATGATGGTGCAAGACCAAGCAGTTTTTCTTTCGTTGTACACTGACACTGCAGTCACTCAGAGATGGAACTGACTTGAGGGCCCTGAACTTCTGGATAGCATGCTCTAAAACCTAGATTCTGATGCGAGTAAAGATCTGTAATAACTTATAAAGTCTGAGAAGATAAACTGAGAGTGGTGTAAAGTTAAGTAGTGAAGAAAAGTTAACTCTACATGGGAATATTAATTGTGAAAGGACAGACTTCTTAATTTCAGTAGATTTTTCAAAGAAAATAGATTAAAAATAACTTGCTCTTAACGTGTTCTAGCTGGAAAGAATAAAATCTGTGTTTGCTTATTTCTTTAAAGAAAAAGGCTCCTGGTGTCAAACAAAATTTCTAGTAGTCTTTTCAGATAATTTAATAAAAGCTAAACATTATTAATAGAATGACGACTAGTATGAATCTTTGCAACCCCGTAACATCCAACAGATAAAATAATACCTCTTAATGCAAGAAAAAACGGTAACAACAAAAAACCTCTAGTTAAATGGAACACGTTGACTGAAATAATATCATATAGGGCCACAGGACTGACAAGGCCTTGTAAATAAGAACAGCTCTGGTGATGCACAGGTTAAGCATTGGGATGTCGACAGAAAAGTCAGTGTGTCAAACCCACCATCTGCCACATGAGAGAAAAAAAAGGTAGTTTGTTCCCATAAGGATTTATGGCCCCAGAAATCCGATAGAGCAGTTCCATGCAGTCCTAAGACTACTACGAGTCAGAATCAACGCAATGGGAGGAGAGTGTATTTTAATACAAACATCCAGTTGAACTCATTTTTAACTTCAAAGTTTTCCATGCGATAAAAGTGGAAAACAATCCCAACACTCATACTGCACTAGGAAAATAATTATCACTGGAAAAAAACTTACCCGAATCAATCATTGACGATTTAACTAAGCTTCTTCAAACAAATAAAAGTATGTTCCCATTAAGAAAACAGGACTGAAATACAAGTGAGATCATAAGACTATGTTGAAGAACAAAGATTATGGTAACATTCCCAGTGTATTCAATTTCCTACCCTAAGCAAATTATATTTACAGCTGAATTAATAGCTGCTTTCACTGATACTGTTAAAATTAATGTGGCAAATCAAAGGATTTGATGGTGACATATTGTTGACAAGCTTAACTACTTTAAAAAATTAAAAATCACTTATGAAAGACACTATTGCCAGTTCAAGGAGCCCTGGTAGCATAGTGGCTGACAGAATGAGCTGCTAACTGCAAGGTCAGTGGTTCAAACCCACCAGTTAGTCCAGGAGGTGGGTGTGGGTATGGGTGGAATTATGCTATCTGCTCTCTTAAAGATTTAAAGTCTCAGAAACCTAAAGAAGCAGTCCCGTGCTTTCCCGGAGGGCTTCTACGAGCCAGAATCAACTCAATGGCAGCGAGTACTGACATTTCACTTCTGCATCCTACACATCCTACATTTAAAACTTAGGAATCAATCCACCAGCACATCTTGCAAAGACCAGAGAATGCGAAAACCTTTTAGATCTCTGTAGCTTTTTACCACATGAAGAATCTTCTTTCTTAGAGACATCAGCATGATTGTGGTAAGTGGTTTCCCCCTTCTCTGGAGGTTTAAGATAACTAGAAGTCATTCAAGATCTGGGGGTCTGGGTGATCAAGGCCGAATGGCCATGAGACCACAAACAAGTGTCAAAGGGCTTTTGGGAAATTTCTCTGCAGGTTTCCTTTTCTGAGATTTGATCCCAAGTCACTTACTGAACTTTTCTCTGGCATTAGTGTCTCCAATATCTCTAGATCCCACTCTGGTTAGTAACTGTAATTAGGCTCCAGATACAGTGAACTTGACCACCACAGGCATTACCACACTCCTAAGTCCTGACAATGAACTCATGAAAAGTACTGCTTCAATAGGAAAATACTTATTGCACTCGCAGTCTATGTCTCCCTTGTGGTGTTGTTACTGTAGTTGTTGGGTGCCATTGAGTCAATTCTGACTCAGATCAAGTCTATGCACAACAAAAGGACCCCTACTCAGACCTGCAGCATCCTCAATACGGTTATAATCGAGCCCACTGATGCAGCCTCTGGGTCAATCTGTCTGTCCCCTTGAGGATCTTCTGATTTCTCACTCACTCTCTGCTGTACCAAGCATGATGGCCTCAGTCAGGGACTATCTCTCCCGACAACACATCCAAAGTATGTGAGACAAAGTCTCGCCATCTTTGACTCTAATAAGCATTCTGGCTATAAGTTTCTAACACAGGTCTGTTTGTTCTTTTGGCAGTCCATGGTACTTTCAGTGTTCTTCACCAATATAATTCAAATGCATCAGTTCTTTTGCTTTATTTCTTATCCACTATCCAACTTTCATGTGTACATGAGGCAAATGAAAATACAATGCTGTGGGTCAGCCATGTATTGGTCCTCAAAAGGACACCTTTGCTCTTTAAAACTCTATAAAGAGGTTGTCTATAGAAGATTAGCTCGATGGATTGCGGTCTTTGATTTCTTGACTGCTGCTTCCATGAGTGTTCACTGTGGATTCAAGTAAACAGAAATCCTTGACAACTTAAATCTTTTCCCTGTTTATTATGCCATTGTCGATTGGTCCAGTTGTTAGGAATTTTGACTTCTTTACACTGAGTTGCGATCCACAGGTTGTTAATGTTTTCTTCCAATTCTGATGCTGCCTTCTCTCCAGATTTGTTGCTGTTGCTTGCTACAGTCAAGCCAGTCTGACAAATAGTGACTCTATGTTTGAGTATGTCAACAGAATGAGACATGGCCTGCTCCTCAGCCATCCTCACCAGTGTTTTCATGCTTGAGCTCCTTGTTGCAGCCACTGTGTCTGTCCATCTTGTTGAGGGTCTTCCTCCTTTCAGATCTAGAGCATCTACGTTACCAAGCATAATGTCCTCCTCCAGGACTCGTCTCTCCTGACAGCATGTCTACAGTACATGACATGAAGTCTCACCATCCTTGCCTCTATGGAGCATTATGGCTATTCTTCTTCCAAATCAGAACGGTTCTTTTTTAGTCCGCGGTACTTCCAATATTCTTCACCAGCACCATAATACAAATGCATCAATTCTTCTTTAATCCTCCTCATTCAATATCCAATTTTCTCATGCATATGAGATGACTGAAAATACCAAGTACATCTTAGTCCTCAAATTAACATTCTTGCTTTTCAACACTTTAAAGAGGTCTTATGTAGAAGATTTACTCGACGTGATGCATCCTTTGAAAATTTGCTGTTTTTAGGAGCATTGATTGTGGATCCAAGCAAGACGAAATCCTTGACAACTTCAATCTTCTCTCCATTTATCATGATGTTATCTATTGGTCCAGTTGTGAGGATTTGGGTCTTCTTTATATTGAGTTGGAATACACATTGAATGCTGCAATCTTTGATCTTCCTCAGTTAGTGCTCCAAGTCCTTTTAACAGGTATGATTGTGTCATCTGCATATCACAGCCTGTTTCCAATCCTGGTCTCACATTCTTCATATAATCCAGATTCCCTGATTATTACCTCAGCATACAGATTGAATACATATGGTGTGAAGGCACAACTCTGACATACACTTTTCTTGATTTAAACTGTGCATTATTCCCTTGTCCTGTTTGTATAAATGCCTCTTGATCCATGTACAGTTTCCTTTGATCTCTTGTGCATTTGCATAATGAAGTCTTCTGGAATCCCTGTTCCTTTTATGGCCATACTTTCTGATATTCTCTGCTTTCAGTCAACATCAAT